GGAGGGGTCAAAGGGGAAGTCCCCTCTCCCCTCAGAAGAGAGAAAGACAGATGACATTTAACGACCTCTTTGAGGATTAAAAGTGTAGCACGGTTGGACCGGATAATCTGTAAACATTGTCCACTGAAAGACGGCACGATAAGGACAGAATCCCAGGCACACAGATTGCAAAGACGAAAGGGTTTCAGTCTTTTCAGGCTATCAGTAATGATAATGTACATCTGGTACTATACTAAGTAAATTTTTATTTTTTAATTTAGTGATACTCGTCACGGCCCACCTGGGGCACCTCCGCGGCCCACCAGTGGTCCGCGGACCACCGGTTGAGAACCACTGATCTAGGCAACACGGTCAAACTACGATCAAACAAGAGAATCAAAGACGTAGTGAGATAACTCTAGGGGTTGGTCTGACTGCCTAACCAAGGCTGACTGCCTATCGCCAGGCTAATGTCTCAAATTCTTAAGCATTGAAAGCATGAAATTTTATGCCTTTCCTGCATTCTCTGGGACAGCATTTTTCAGCATCAGACTCACTGCTCGCCTTCAACACCTCGGAAGGCAGTGGAATTCAAAGGCCTATAAATGTTAATGTCAATTTGTTGCAGGAGACCTCATACGTATGTCTCAAAGTACAATATCACAGACTTAAGAACGATGTCTCTTAGGCATTATTTCCCTAGGTCCAGGATTTTTCAGACTCTTGGGTAATTCGGAGATGAGGTTTCAGTTTGTTATGATTCCTTCATAGCATGAATTAGCGTCGTGGTGTTTGTGAAGGTAGGGAATCCATCACATCCGTGTGGGAATCAGGAGGTCTCCATGCACTCAGCGAGTCTACCCTCGTATAGGAATCGCTGAAACCGCCTCAATTACTGAGTAGGGATGACTTCAGCATTCTTTCATTCCCATTTAGAATTATTCCAAGTTAGGGCCATGCTAGTTTGCGAATACTAGACTATATATACTGTTACGTACTTATTGTACTGTTCAATCTTGGTCAAAAGCATTGACACATGTTTAGCTCTTTTCTCTGAATACGGTGAGGTTTTTAGCGAGAAAATTGGGACTCCAGATTTACCTAGTCTGCTACGAAAGTTCAATAAATAGTTCGAGGAAAAAAACTTAAAAGTGCTAGGGCATTTGACGAAGGGTGAATATATTGCTTACATTATAATATATCAGGTATCATGGTGCATATAAAATTGGATAGAGAGACCGAACCTGAACTCATGGGGGATGATGTTACACAGTCGATCATCGATGCATTGCCAGCGTTGAACTTGTCACTGTGTCATCTGTATGCGCCAGCAATGGGGCTACGGGAGAAGGAATGGTTAAGGGAAGGAAGCAGATGAACCGATGACCGCTGTTCAGTAGGGGCACTGTGGAATAGCGGGCTTTGTAGCCCTCCACCTCATTTCGTATGCCAGCTCCGTTCTCGATGTACAGTATGCTTTGCCCCTCTCCCTATCGGGGACTGTAATGAATGGCTCACTGCAATGACAACCGTAAGATGATCTTGACAGGTTTTCAGTTTTCCACAACTTTCGCCCAACTTTACCATATATTTTATCTGTGAAATCTTGATTACTTGCCGAAAGAAAAAAAACTTGAAGGTCCTATAGCCTTTAGTTTAGTCACTTTCTAGATTTATTTAATGAAAAGTCGAAGAGTATCAGTACTTCACACTTGTTCATATTTTAGGAGAAGTTGGGGGGACGCTGATCCACTTGTGGAACAGCAGCGATTCGTGATATGCAGCAGTAAGCTGCTGCAGATCGTCGATGGAGGGAGGGCACCCGGGCCTACCCTGCCCTGGCGAACTATTATTGCTGCGTATCAAGAGTCGCCACTGTTGTGGAATTCCGCCAAATATTCCACCCATGTCCCTTCCTTCACTCAGCCGAGTGTGTTCTACTAAGTTGGTAGAAGCAATCACCTCACATCGTTCACCGTTCCACCACCCGCTCCTCCCCTTGGCTTGGAATCCTTGTGGAATGCTGCCCGCATTTGCATCTTTTTATTGTTTGAATTAACTTGTTCTATCTGTTGTTAGTGAAAAGAATGTTTTCCAGTCTGAATGCTGTACCTTAAGCGGAAATAGTGGAGACGTATATTGTTACTTGTTCTCCCAGTTCCTCGCAGTAGGTACAGAGCTCATAAAAAATAGTTTCACTTTCAATTCACATCACCTTCACCATGGAGTTAATTTAATATATTGTATTTTCTTCATGTTTATGGAATCGTCATGGACAATGCTAAAAGTAGTATGAAATAAAAGCAAAAGAAGGGAATGAGTTACAGTCATTATGAACCGTTGTTATGACTAGCAAATCAACCGTTCAAACTTTCAATCACTTTGCATAAAGTGCTTGCATATTACTCTTTCATACTGACTGTCGAATGCACTGTCAGCCCTTGTCCATTTGAGTCCCTATCTTTTCATATTGTCATGCTACTCGTTTTCGAATGATCTGAGCGTGTTTGCAATCTCTTAATGCATTAAGATTAATAGTAATCGTGCCAGGTTACACTGAGCGCTTGCGGCAGAAACAGTGAACAAATACTTGGGAAAATTTACTCACCCTATAGTTTGCTGCACTATCTACATCTTCTCTATCATCCACAGCTTTTAGCAAGTCGAACTATAGTACAAAATATTCAGCGTTATTTGCAACAGAACGAGACAAATATTGGCAACTTTTTCTTTATTCATTTTAGAGAGCATTTCTCTCTGCACTGATCACAGTCGGCCACTTGGGTCGTAATAAGAAAGCCAGCGTTTAAGGTCAGTTTGCGTTTGAAGGTTGTGAGTTGGATTTTTTCCGACAACGCATTACTCAAGTCACTTGCAATAAAAATTCAGCTGTCCTATTCCATCTGTCTTTCCGTACGCCCATCACAATGATACCGGGAAAAGTTTCTAGGAAGTGGGGATTCTGAGACCGAAGATTTGATGAGCGATCTTGTCAAATCCAAATGGACACTGGTACAAAGTCTTGCATTCGGACTTCTTTCCATCCTCCTGCTCCTCCGCTTCCAGCCTACAAGACAGCACGCAGCAAATGTATTACAGAGAATTGATTTTTTTGAGAGTGCAATCTTTTAGCCGTTCTTGCGTCAACGCTAGGTGACCATTCTCAGCACTCAAGGTTAAAGACAAAAGTCTTACATACCATTTGAAATTTCGATTGTGCTTGAAGTTACATGCAAAGTACAGAAGACTAGCATCGGGCGGTCATCTTTTATGCGTCCAAATGAGAATAATTAGGAAGGATTTTTCGTCTTGAAAGTGTTTAATCATAATTTCAGTGGACTGGACGGATGGTGAACCATAACCTTCGAGGTTTCCTCAAGCGCCAACAAATACCATGGTTTCTAGACTTACGGGAAATCCAACATTCCTGGAGTTCGTATAAGAAATATTCGGGGATGGCATGAATGGTTTTACAAGGGAACAGGCTTCGACTCGGGACCTAATTCCTGAAAAAGAAAATTTCCCCCGAAGAAAACAGTCGCCAGACACTCTACGGTCCTAGGGCATACCGCTGGAAGATGCAGGTTTTACAGCCGTGAAGGAAGTGAGACGAGAAAGTCTCATTTTAACTTATTAACGAGTCGTCGGTGAACTTATTCCCAGGTAGCATTAGACATCCTCGTATCTTCCGCTGGGTATCAGCTGCGGATGTTCGGAGATTCCTTGGATGTCCGCTTTGCATAAATTTCAGATGCATATTTAAGGAAGAATTGTCAACAAAGGATTTCCGTTTGTTTCTTCGTCAATGACGTCACACAACAATAAGTAACTTGACAGCAGAACGAAAAGAACCTATAACCCAAGGAATTTTACCACATTGCACAGTGGTCCAGCGATGCGCAAAAATCATTTTCGTCCGTGAATGAAAGTCAGAGATAATGACCGTCATTGATGGAAAACGATTGAAGAGGCAATGACTTATTTCGGTGATTCACCGAAATAAATTATTATTTAAAAAATTTAATAAACAATTTATTTTCGTCACTAGATGGCGCTCTAGTTGAGAAAATGTCTGCGTACTTTTTGATGGTCGATGTCACGTTTTAATGAAGTCACAGGACAAGATGACTGAAGCTGCTGTTAAGTTGAAATTGGAAATATGAAATCACGAAAAGTGGATGCTATCATGATGATCAACTTACTAACTTGCCACAGTTATCATACTATTATGATCCTTCCATTATTTGCAGGAGAAATAAGTTAGTCCTGAGCTTGAGTAAAGCCTCTCATTTTTCTGCCTGAAAAATTACTAAAAGTTTAAATTGCAAAGTCATTCCGCAGAATTCTGTTTTCAATCTGGCTAGTGCGTAGGGCTTACTTACCGTCACTAGCGAGCAAGTAGAGTTTCTTGCAGATTCTTCTGATATAAACGAAATTAATATGCCTACTTATCTGAGATTTTTACATTCTCGCTCCCTCCCAAGGATCACCGCTACGGCGAGGCCTGACAGCTTGTTTGGGTCTTTACAAATTTGCTTGGAACAGCCTGAAAATCGTTTGAATCTAGCTAAGCATGTTCTGAAAGCAATATCCAAAAATTTCCTTTCACTATAAGATAATATCGCTGATGTTTGATTTTTGCGCATGTTTTCGCCATTCTGGCCCACTGTGCATTGGTGTAGACTGGATCTTCAAGGGAATTATTCATTTCACTAATCAAATTAAAGTTTGTTTGCCCGAAGGACCAACAAACTCGTTAGAACTGTTTATAGGCAATTGTCAGTGACAGATTTGCGCTGATTCTAACCATGTTCTAGATAGGGTAGAAACGTGAAACTTGGTACACAAGTAGCTATTGGGGTATTGGTTAAAAAACATTCCTACTATAAATATTTCCCTGCTTTCCTTCAAGGTAAAAGTTTTTGGTGGAAGGGGCTTTTTCCGAGGACAATTTTGCTCCAGAGAATCGGAAATTTCGCGTTCACCGGACCTTACACTAGCACACTTTTGGTTGTGGGGGTTTCTGAAGTCTTGCGTGTACCGAGGGACCCCACGCATGATTCCGGACCTTGAATATGCCATTGTCACGAAGGTGGTCAGCATGCCGGAGGATATGCGACGTGCTGCTCTCATGTTTCTTATCCCACGAGTGTAATGCATGGTGGATAATGGAGGAGCATACATTGAGCATAACTGACTATCATAATTGAACTGTTTGTTTACTTTTGATGGCAACACACGATACGTACAGCATTTTCTTCCCCACGGCCCCTGTAGCATTCGTATTCATTATCACGATCCCGTGTCTAACCGTTTACGAGAGTTGATACGTTGAACAAGGGAAGTTTCTTTATAATCACCCTGTATGTGAGCGTCGAAAGCACACGTTTTAAAATATTTAATCTATTTATTTAGATCCTATAGCGCCGTAGGCGCGACCATTACGAGTTTCGTTGCTCTTTGGGTAAAAAACTCGCTAGTATGAGTATGTATATAGGATAAAACCATCTAAGTTCGGACACCATACAATAAATTGTTATAAAACAAGGTCTGTTAGCGAAGTTTGCGAGGTCGCCCTCAGAAACAGCTCTTCTAAGCTGCGAAGAACTGTTTCTTAGGAAGAGTTCACCAATGTTTGATTTTATAACGATGCACGTGATAGTGACCGAACTTAGGTACTGTCCGAACTTACCCCGTAGATGGTTTTATCCTAAGGAGGACATGCCGGAAGACTCACGTGTTCTTGAGAGCATGCCACTTCTCCCTTGCTCGATTGATTTCACAAACAAATTCCTGGAAGCATACTTTTGGATCCATGGTTGCAAATGCCTGATGGAAAGCAAAAAAAGCATCGTGAATACTGTTTTTTTTTTATTTTAAAGGTATAAGTCTATTCATAAGCCAAATGGTTGCTTCCTCTTACTATGGACATGTCCCAATAGTACTTGACGGACGACATGGGAATCACTTGGCTGATTGGACTCCCTTGGTTGAGCCCGACCGCGAGGTTACTCCGGCCAAGTGGATATGGAATTGAAGTGGGCGATGCATAAGGAGACAATATGGGCGTCAGGGCGATGGGCAGATAACCATACCAGTTCAGGACGGCAATGAAGAGGAGGAATAGGCTCACGATCATCACCTTTTTTTTGCAATTGGGAGAATGAGAAAGACAATGTCAGCTTTTCAGCCTGATCGTGGGGCCAGGTCGACCCTCTACATACGTAGAAAAACAGCTCAGACAACAGTAATGCCAGTGGCTTCGCATTTCTCTGAACCGTTTCGTGGTTTCATAAAATATAGGAACCTCTAGTACCCGAAGCCGACGCTTTACATCTGGAGTTCAGAGGCCACAAAATATGACCCGCGAAAACGCAAACTGCCTTTCGAACGCTGGAAGCTTACAGACCTATTAACCTTCGGATGATGGAAATGGACCCCATCATTTGTGTTTTTTTTTATTATTTTGTTTTGCAATTATAATAATAATGTTTTTTTTTTAAATAATGTTTTCCACTCCTTCAATGTATCAATCATGCGTTTATACGAGTAAAACAACGTTAATAACATATCCGAAAAAAGTGTATTCTAGACTATCCTCATTGTCAACCTTCGTCCGAAGGTCAGCAATGAGGATAGTCACGTGCCGACGAGGATCAACATAAAGCATGACAATTACTTATAGAATAAAAAATATGGAATAAAAACGTTTTCCATTTTACTACCGAACCTCAGAACTTCTATTCGCTTTATATCTTGAAATATGTCAGAATCGGCTCATTTCCATAATTAAGTCTGGATTTTCTACCCCTCTACGCCAGAACTTTAAGCCCAAGAAGGTACTTCCCAAACATATCACAAGTTCACGGACAACGCACACAGAACGCGGTTACTTCGTTACGTCATTTACGAGGGGTATGTGAAAATTTCCACGCCTGACCATGATGGAGTTGATGTCAACTCTCATAACTTTAAGATTTTTCTACAAAGTCTGATATCCACGCACTCGGACTAAAGATGCTGCAGGGCTTCCTCCTGTAAGAAGACTATGTTCTGCCCCTGTAACCACTCGTAAACAGCCGATACGACATCATCGACTATCTGAAATCTGGTTCCTCTGTAACGTAATTAAAAAGACAAAGCAGATGAGAATCCGAGAGGGCAAGGTCTGGGGAATGAGGCAAGTGTTTACAATTCACATTCGTGCGTTCGGATCCAAGGCAACGCGTGAGGAGTGGAATTTTGCTTTATCGTGACGAAACGGCTCGCAATGTTGTAATAGAAACGAAACCGGCGAACTTTATATCGTGGAAATGATTAGTTCAATGACAAATAAATTAGGAAATGATGAAATTTTTGAGGATGAAATTTGATGAAATTTGAGAGGAGCACGGTGAACCGAAAGGTCGTCCGTCTGTCCACATGAAACCAATCCTCCCGTATGCAATTCTCTCCTCCAAATGCCTTGCACACCATCTCTTGGCATTCTCTCGTTTCCTCCTCTCCTCTTTCTTCACATCCCACATATGTCCTGAATCGTATGAGACGATGCACTCCAGGAGTTCTTTAAGCGATCCCTAAGGCTCGCTACTGAACTGGGTTTTATTTAGCAAGGAACGGTGCTTCTGGCTAGAGGGGCGGCCGCTTCCCAACTGTACATTTTCCAGAAATGTCCATTCTTCTTCGTAAAATGTTTCCGACTAAGAGCGTGTAAACCTGGATTTCTCCTAATGTTCTGAAAATATTTCCTGCATTCCCTCGGAAATCCCACTTTGTGTTCTTTGCGGAATTTTTTCCTTATTCCTTCTAAAAATATTACGGCTAAGGGACCTAAATTCGAAATCCGACCTTTAAACGAACGATCCTTTTCCTCATTCGCGTCGGAAAAGCCTGTTTCAAATATTCCCCGAAAAATCCTCATGACGATACAGACCTTTCCATATCGACACCTTACGGAAGCTATCCGACACCTTACGGAAGCTATCCGACACCTTTAGTTTCTGATCCGAATGGTAGAAGACTCCCACTAGCACCCGAGATTCTATCAATTATGACGTCGTGATGCTTCGGAGAACTGGGTGTCGATTCCCAAGAAGAAAGGTCATTTCCTGTTTATATCCCTATCGGCTACAGGGGAAATGAATAGCATGACAACTTCTTCTCGTCGGGAAAAGAACTGTTCTGAAACGATGCATGCTCTGCTTCACGTGCATCATCTACATTTCCTGACTGCCGACGGCACACACGTTACGGATAATGAAAGGTAGATTGAGATATGTAGAACTTGTTCTTCTCACACTCCCACTTTGATAAGTGAAAGAGGAGAGAATGAGCCACAATATCTTTCGAAAACAATTAGAAAGAGATACTAATTAATCGCGTGAGTGGATAGTACCTGCAGGTTTTCTTAGATTGGGACGCACCAATATCTCAAGGATTAATGACGGCAAGTCACGAAATGAAATGAAATTCGATTATGTTTTCGAGTGATGAACGTAACTTAGGAATCACCGAATGAGACGGAAAATCTGATGGGAGGACAGTCAAAATTCCCTACTTTAACGGAAGACCAATTCTGATGATGAACTGGAACTTATAGGAGAATGAGAGGAAAACTCCCTTACGTGCTTAAGTCGGAGGGATCGATTCCGAGCTTTTCTCGGAAGAGTATGTTTACGTGAGAAAGTGGGAAAAGTATTTTCCGCCATGAAGCGGAATTATTCCCTTTTCCGTGCGTTAGACTGAAACCCTGTTTTCTATGCTTTAATCGGACTTTTCAGAAAATATTTTTTCACAGTGCATTGTAAGGTAGTAGGTGTGAGGCATATTGGTACAGATACGTCCATAATTCTGCTGCTGGTGATTTTTGCACTTAGAGAAACGAGAGAAAAACTGCTCTTCTAACTCGACTCCACGAGGAGGAAATCATTCCGGACTTGCCATGCCAAAACATTGTTATTGTGCATTAAACACTGTACCCATTGGCGAAGCCGTCAGATCGACTGCCTACGCTGTTAGGGCCTATGCCATTACCTAACCCTGGACTGCGAAACCAGTGTGGCTGCAGTTTACCATCACCTACCTGAGGTCAGTGAACACTCTCAATATATTAACGATTGAATGGTTGCTCATTAAACAATAGGGTTTCGTTGCTATGTTAGCATAAAATAGCAAAGTTTCAGGAAATTTAATTTAATTTCTAGGACGCTTGGCTGTCAAAAAATTAGCCATCGAATAGGTTGAGCACTATTGCTAAAGCACGGGCCCCCTAATAGCCCTGTACGAATGTAAGAATGACGTAAGAATGGCACGTATCCCAATTTACCTTAGTTCGAGCTCCTCGGCAGATGTGCCTTAGGTCGAGACGGTATGCATTCGATTCCCGTAGCTCGACACTCTAAGTGAGTCTATTGCCAGCCACATCCGGTCGTGTCGTCTGCCGATTGGAGAAGACGATTAGGGGGAATCACTCCGCACGTACGGCTGGGAACTTGGAATCGAATGGGTACCGTCTCGAACTTAGGCGAATCAGACAGATCACAAAATATTTTTTCTCGTTTTCCCGAAGCTTTCTACTACCTGAATGGGTGAAAGAGTGACGGTGTCGTTGAGGTAGTCCACCTCTACCTGTCTGAAGATTGGCACGGCACCCGGAATGAATAAGCCAAGCACTAGGAAAACTTTCCACAAATCCATTGTTGACAGATAGAAGACTGGTGCAGCTCGTCGTGTCTGGCCCGGCCGAATGCAATGTATGCACTGCGGATTTTTCTTCACCTCCGTTAAGGTGGCGAATAAACCGCTATGTCCCCTTATCATTGACCTTACGATCGATAAGCAGTTCTCTGCATCCCTGGAGTTGATTCCAATCGATCGACACTGCGCTTATCGTATCAGCTTGCTGTACAACTTCGGCATACCTGTAAAGTAGACGTATACCTCTGTTTCGATATTCCTCTAACTGGTGCTTGCATGCTTATCTTATTACAAATTTATACTCATTTCTAGGATATTTGGATGACTGAAATCCACTGTTACTTTGAGTTTCAAAAAATTAATGTTGCCTTTCATTCGATCACTAATTCATGGAAATTTAAACTTTGATATTCTAATCGAAATAACATGAACACATTATTCTTTAATAATTTCAAGACATTAGGATTCTAATGCGAGAGATAAAGCCTGATCTAACAATTATTTAATTCAAAGGTGTACAGCATGCGGTCCGCGGCCCGGCATGACTAGTGGCGTTGCATCCTATTCTGTTGGCCACAGCAACGGTCAGCCGGATTGCAGCCTGCAGTAGGTGAGTAAAATTCGCAAATGGCCCTCACGGCCTTTTGAGTTATGCTCCCCTGGCTTAATTCATCGCAAGTGTTGCACACTGATAAACATAAACGCGAATCCTCCAATTTTTGTCTTTCTCTCTCCACGACATTCCGGTGTACTTTATGGTCTCAATATCCAACTCTTTAGCAAGAATTTTCTTCAATTTCATGTCTCCCTGGGTCCGGTGCTAAGTATGAGGTCGGTGGGAATGTCACGTATTAAAGTGAGGATAGTCCCAGCATTAATACTTGACGGGGATTCTTAGGTTTTTGGGTTCGGTCCAGCAAACTCAGGAAAGGAAACTCCCTTTTCACTCTCAAAGCAAAGTGGAATTTATGTCCAGCAAACTCAGGAAAGGAAACTCCCTTTTCACTCTCAAGCAAAGTGGAATTTATGTTCCCGTTCTCTACCTCCTTGATCGATCCCAAGGCCATGAAAACAAAACCCAAAAGGAAAAGAAAGGAAGGTCAGGAAACACACAAACAGACACAACACAAGGAACACAGAATGGCCGCGAACCCAAGGAAAAGTTAACCCAATGAACTATAAACTAAGAAAATGGACTATGTCCCTACAAAACTCCCTCCCAGGCCCACCCAACACGTTACTCTCTGCCTTTCCCATCCACACTCTCTCTCTCTTCCCGTTCCTTTCTCGAGTCCCCTCTCTGCCTATATCCCCGCTCCCTCCTCAGTTCGGAGGTTCCGCCTTCTAACGGAACGGGATCCCTTATTGGCAGATATTCACTGTGTGGAGGTTAGCGATTGGGAGGTACTGGAAGGCGTGCCTGACACAGTGTATATG